GTCCAATTAGTCACAGAAGTCACTGGACCCACTTTACTTGTGTCGGGTATGTGCCTGGCTCCTGTGGGCATCCAAGTTCATTTTTTTTTTTGCATCTATTGTAATGAAAAACAATTTGGAAATTCTGGCAGGTTTAACAGATTGGTATCACAGTACATTATTCTGATTTTGTGGGAACATAGAGGGGAAAAGACTCAGCTTCAGGATGGCTTTGTGCTTGACTCCGTTGCACTTTGTATTTGAAATGAACTCTGCTTTGCCCTTTAGGTTTTCAGATTACTAAACTTATTGTAGAGGAACCTGAGTTTAACTCAATGAAGGTAAACCTGCCAATAATTCGAAATTCTGGGACAATTGGCAATGTTACTGTTCAGTGGGTTGCCACCATTAATGGACAGCTTGCTACTGGTGACCTGCGAGTTGTCTCAGGTAATGTGACCTTTGCCCCTGGGGAAACCATTCAAACCTTGTTGTTAGAGGTCCTGGCTGACGACGTTCCGGAGATTCAAGAGGTGAGAGGAATGGCTAGTATAGAATGACTCTGTAAAACATGCTTAATCTTATAATGACTAGAACAGATGACTATTATCATAGTATTTTTTGAGAGAGTGTCAAATTATTTCTGTGAGAATGTTAAAAACATCAATACATCCAATAGCATAAAATATAATATTATATTACACAGTAAAATGATACATATATAATAGTATAAATGAGAATATTGTATACATAGATCATGTATAATGCCAGTTTACCAGTATATATGTATATATATTGCACAGCTGTATTGTAGTTTTCAACATTTTGGCTACAGTTTTGTGATGTTTTATATAAACTCTGCATTTGCTTCTTTTTATTCATTTTGGTTTTAGAGTGAGTCATTCAGTCTTAATTGATTCTCTAGGCATTCATTTCTTTATTATTTATTGAGAATTTATAGCATGTTATTGGGTTATTGGAGTCCTGGTGTGGCTCTGTAGGATAAGTACTGGACTGCTAACCAAAAATATGTCAGTGGTTCAAACCCACTAGCTGCTCCTAGAAAACCCTCTATGGGTTTGCATGAGTCAGAACTGACCTTGATGGCACATAGCAACAACATTGAGTTATTGAGAATTATCTATATGGAAAATACCATGTTAGATACATTTTGCTGTTACCTATTTTTGTGATAGAGGCAAAATGACCAAAACCAAAAATACTCTCAAGAAAGTTATTTTTCACTAACATATGCTGGCTGAAGATAATTTTGCTTTATGAAATTTAGGTATCATTAAGGCCTAGACATAATAAAATGAGTCCTGATGTGATACTGTAGGATCAGCACTGGACCAGTAACAACAAGATATCATAAAATAACTTTTAATAACATTTATTCCTGTATGTTATTAAAATTTTATAAGTGAAAAGCCGTGTAATTTATTTTGAATGCCAATTGTCATTATTTTCTAAAAATATTAAGGCATTAGCTAGTACAGGCAAGTTGATTTCTTTCTCTCTAAATTGAGATGGAACTATGGTGCTTTATTTTTTATTTAAATTTTGTTAGAGACTTTTCACTTAAGAAAATAAGAAAATCAAGAATAAGATTTACTTGTTGTAATTGTTTTTAAGTGCTTTCAAGTAGGTTCTGACCCACAGCGACCTTATATAAGGTTTCCAAGGAGCAGCTGTGGGCTTGAACCACCAAACTTGTGGTTCAAACTGACCTTGCAGTCCAGTGCATTCACCCACAGTGCCACACCAGGACTCCAATAGATGATCTATTAATCCCTAAAGAAAAGAAAGGTATAGAACATATATGTCGTATTATTAAAATGAAAAGTATAAACAGGTTTTAATAGCATTTCATGGGATTATGTAACTGAATACTAAAGAATTTAAACAGTTTATGTTTCTTATGTATGTTGTTGTTGTTAAGTGCCATCGAGTCAATTTGGACTCATAGCTACCCTCTATAGGGTTTCCAAGAAGCAACTGGTGGGTTTCAACTGCCAACTTTGTGGTTAGCAGTTAACAAGCCAGTGCTGATCTACAGCACCACACCAGACCTGTTTCTTACTTATAAAATCATATTATTAATAATTGGTGATCAATTCTGCTATTTCATGCTGGACTTGACAATATCATTTGGGAATTAAAAAAACAAAAAGATAACAGAATTCTTCCACACACTCACACACACACAATGTAATTTGGACATTTCCTTGAGTTTATATTGCATTCAATTTTACTTTTATACTTGTATGGATATGTTTGAATTTTTTTTCTGTATCATTATTATTCTAATTTCAGAATTGGGATGCTGTTAAGGAAGTTTTCACTGTATTTTTAGGTAATCCAAGTGCAACTAGCTGATGCCTCTGGTGGAGGTACTATTGGGGTAGATCGAGTGGCTAATATTATTATTCCTGCCAATGATAATCCTTATGGTACAGTAGCCTTTGTTCAGCCAGTTTATCGTGTTCAAGAACCTCTGGAAAGAAGTGCCTGGGCTAACATAACTGTCAGGCGAAGGTATATGAGCTAGATCTCGGGGAGTGATGGGAATTGTGGGGTTCTGGGGAGGGATCTCTTATACAATTGCACATTTTAGGATTGGGGGTTTTCCACCTTGTAATGTAAATTATTTTGTAGGTTATTATAATCTGTTAATTGAATTATGTCTACTGCTATAAAGAAGCCATCATATATATTTTACAAGTTATTGAGGCCCTGATGACTCAACAGTTAAGCTGGGTTCAGACCTACCCAGCACCTCCATGGAAGAAAGGGCTGACAGTCTTCTTCCATCAACATTGGTAATGCTGTTATATAATATAAGTAATTCTGACTTACAACATCCTTATATTAAAGAGTCGAAAGGCTATGATCTTTATGGGAGCAGTTTGCCTGGTCTGTTCTTCTGTGGAGTCGCTGGTGGATTCAAACCATCAACCTTTTGATTAGCAGCCAAGAATGCTTAATTAATTTGCCAACAGAGCTCTTTAAGTGCATATGATAGCTTAGAAAATTCTATGGGCAGTTCTGTTCTATTAAATGCGGTCACTACAAGTCAAAATAGATGCAAGGACACCCAACAACAACAACATTAATAGTGAAATGGGTAATTGATTATACCATCATCAGATGGATATACCATTATTGGAGTTCCTAACCCCAGCAATTTATCTGTGATTTGTTAGAATTAAAGCTTAACTACAACAAGCCCCTAAATTAAAGACCACTCCGATGCTATGTGACATGGTTGATTTTTAGGTTCTTCTTTTTCCCTCCATTTCTCTTGTAAGGCAGCATAATGTTCACTGAGCTTCTTCAGAAATAGAAAATATAGGTTCTTAGGACCTTCTGGCCAGTGATTATATTCCTTTATATAACAATATTATTGTTACTTTGTTTTAGTAATGAAAATTAGGTTGCTTTTCTAATTCTATTTGACATTTCTGAGTTGAATACTGATTGAACATTCTGCAAGGTATTTTCATAACTTGATTAAAAGTTAAATATTGTTTGAATGAAAGCAATACTGAAAAGCAAGCTTTCCTTACATGAGAAAACAAATATTGAAAGACAAGAAACATGGTGGAGATTCTACTAGTGTTTTAAAAAGAAAGTGGAAACCACAGTCAACATTTCTCTTCTGTGTTTGCAAGACACATATTCCTTTGAGTGCTTAACCTGTTTTTTGTCACTCCATGTTTTAGCGGAGGGCATTTTGGTCGGCTGTTGTTGTTCTACAGTACTTCTGATATTGATGTAGTGGCTCTTGCTGTTGAGGAAGGTCAAGATTTACTGTTCTACTATGAATCGCCAATTGAAGGCATACCAGACCCGCTTTGGAGAACCTGGGTGAATGTCTCTGCAGTGGGGGAACCCCAGTATACCTGTGCCACTTTGTGCCTCAAAGAACACGCTTGCTTAGCGTTTTCATTTTTCAGTGCTTTTGATGGTCCTGAGTGCTTTTGGATGACATCATGGATTACCCCAACTGGTAACAACTCAGACTTCAGGACTTACAGGAAAAACATGACCAGGGTGGCATCTCTTTTTAGCAGTCAGGCTGTAGCTGGTAGTGACTATGAGCCTGTGACTAGGCACTGGGCCATAATGCTGGAAGGTGACGAATTTGCAAATCTCACGGTTTCTATTCTTCCTGATGATTTCCCAGAGATGGATGAGAGTTTCCTAATTTCCCTTCTTGAAGTTCATCTCATGAATATCACAGCCAGTTTTAATAATCAGCCAACCGTCGGACGGCCAAATACTTCTACAGTTGTCATAGCATTAAACGGTGATGCCTTTGGAGTGTTTGTGATCTACAGTATTAGTCCTAACACATCAGAAGATGGTTTATATGTGGAAGTTCAGGAGCAGCCACAAACCACTGTGGACTTGATGATCCACAGGACGGGAGGCAGCATAGGTCAAGTGACAGTTGAATGGCGTGCTATTGGTGGAACAGCTATCGAAGGTTTAGATTTTATTGGTGCTGGAGACATTCTGACTTTTGCTGAAGGTGAGTGATGATTTTAAATGGGTTCCAGTTCTTCCTGGCAAAATTATCATAGCGAATTATTAGGATAATGTTCATAAGAATTTCTTATTATGCTTTCTGGCATAGGTATAAAAGTTTAATATGGTTCTGGAAATATAGAAGTTAGTTTGTTAGTGGTTGACAAAAAATATGTAGGCTGGTATGGCCCTAAATATGTATTTTAGTTTGCTAAAAAGATCAGAGTTTTCAGGAAATGTATGAATTTTAACTTTTTTTCAGATTGAAAAAGTCAAGTGTATTTAAAAGCCTCAGATTATATAGCAGAATAAAAGAATTATTCATAATACCATATCTTAGAGTGATTCTTTATATCTGTTTTAATATTTCTATGCAAATACTTTTTTTTTTTTTTTTTTTTAGAAACAGTGATTGGGGCCAGGCTGCATATGTACTTTTTGAAACATCTAATAAGCATTACTTTTAAAGTAATCTTTTAAAAAGCATGAAACATTCATATAATGGTTATTTCCTAGTAAATGATTTCAGGAATAGTGGAATCTGATATACTTGATGGGGCAGGGTAGTAATTGGATACATTTCTCCTAATTTCAAAGGAAATAGTGCAGATTTAATTAAGAGGGAGTAGAGATGAAAATTTAAAGTCAGATTCTCCTATAGCTTTGGCGACTACACAAAAAAGTTACTAATGTATTGTTGTTGTTAAGTGCCATTGAGTTGAATTTGACTCATAGCAATCCTGTACAGGATTTCTGAGGAGCAGTTGGTGGGTTTGAACTGCCAACCTTTTAGTTCACAGTCCAATAGTACCACAGCAGGAGTCCATATAAAGTATCAGTATTATGTAATCATTGTTACATTGAATTGTAATTTTAGCATTATATAAAATAGATCATATTTTATAGCTAACCTAGATTCTTAGACAAGGCATACTATCTGGAGGCAAATCTTGACACTTGACACTGCTGAATTGATGGAAAAACACAAGGGTCATGTTGTTGTTGTTAAGTGCTGTCGAGTTAATTCTGACTTATAGTGACCCTGTATAGGGTTTCTGAGGAGTGACTGGTGAGTTTGAACCTCTGAGCTTGCTGTTCAAAGCGACTTTACAGTCCAGTGCATTAGTCCACAGCGTCATACCAGGACCCGGCAAGGATCACTAGAGTCCTTGTATTCAAGTCCCCTTTTTCTTTTGCCCTGACTTTTTCTTCTCTTCTTTCATCCTCTTTCCAGAAAAGAGAGAGCTATTAAATGTGAAAATCATATGCTGAACTCCTTAGGAAACATTGAGTTTAGGGTTGTTTAGTGGGGTTCTAGACCAAATTGACAAGTAGACTGCTTAGTCCTTGTCACTTATCACATCTCCTTGTGAATTCCTCTTCTGATCTATCCTCTTTGCCCCACATCATCAAAGTAGGGTTAATGCTGTCAATTAAGTATCCAAAGGCCCAATCATTTAATCTCTTTTGCTCAGAATTTGCTTTGCTAAAGAGAGCTGTTTCTAAACAGAAGTTGTTTTAGAAGCTCTGCCTTAACTAGCACATTGTTCTTGGAAAAAGACCAGAAAGTAAAGCAATGATTCTTTGAAGTTTCTTTAACTTATGCAAAATTCATGATGCTGTTTTCTCCAATTGGTCCATGGTGATGACATTTTACTGGTTTGTAGACATAATGATATACAGATTTGTATGCAAATGATATATAAATTTACCTGCAAAATTTTGCTTATAGTGGTGCTTGTATTTATCATGCCATGGAACTATGATAAATAATGTACTTCAATATGTTTACCTAAAAATTTTAACTTTTGTGAAGGCTCATTGTGATTTGGTTACTTTAGTTTCTATTCTGTTCATATTTTTATAGGTGAAACCAAAAAGACAGTAATTTTAACCATTTTGGATGACTCTGAGCCAGAGGATGATGAAAGCATCATAGTTAGCTTGGTGTACACTGAAGGAGGAAGTAGAATCTTGCCCAGCTCCAACACTGTTAGTGTGAACATTTTGGCCAATGATAATGTGGCTGGGATTGTTAGCTTTCAGACAGCTTCCAGATCTGTCATAGGTCATGAAGGTGAGTTCCTCTTTCTGTTCAATATACTTACTCTCTTTTCCGTGGATGTTATTATTTGTGTAGTCTTTTAAAGCTTCCAGTGTTTTTTTCCTGTCATTATTTTGTTGAGCTGTGCTTGTTAACTTGCATTGAATTGACCTAGAAGAGAGTTATACAGTGACATGCTTAATTAGAATTGGGAGCCTTGCATACTGGTATTTGTGTTCAAGCTTGCTGTGCCCTATGAAATTGATTTTATAGAAGTTAGTCACACCTGGATTCTTCAGCTTTCTAATCTGTTTAATGGTGGGAAATATTACTCACTTCACAGGTTTTTTTGTGAGGATTAAGTGAATTAATGAATATAAAATGCTTAGTGTAGTCCCTGGCAAGAATAGTATATATCAATGGTTGTTGTTATTAAGAGCTGTTGAGTCAGCTCCAACTCGTAGTGACCCTGTAAAGGGTTTCCAGGGAGCAACTGGTGAGTTTGAACTGCCAACATTGCAGTTCAGACCAACCTTGCAGTCTAGTGCATTATCCTGCAGCTCCTTGTCAATGGTAGCTGCTATTATTAAACAGTGAAACATTGGCTTCCTGTAAAAAGAAATAGTAATTTATAACCAGTGATTACTCTTGCCTGGGGTTGATTTATATAGTCTGTATTTTTTTAATCAAGAAAGTTTCAAACTAGCTAAAATGTACATAGGCATTTTATTTTTCCATAAAAACCAGTTATTTTTAAATCTTTTCTAATATTTTATGTCACACATAGGATTTTGTACATATAGACCAATTTTGTTAGTTTAAAACATTCTAGCAGGGTTTTTCTGAGTTTGAATAAACCTATTTTGAAATAATGCAGGTATTTATAGACTGTGTTTCACTACATAGAATGTGCTTAGAATTCACATATAATAATTTTGCCTCTTAGTGTTCATATGTAAAAGGGATATAAAGCAACTACTTTCACTTCCATTTCACAGATGAGAAAACTGAGACACAGAGCAATTAGTGACTTCACAAGATCATATAGCTAGTTGGTGGCTGTGTTGGAAATTGAGTGTATTTTCATGCACATTACCTTTCACCTTACAGTCCTCCCAACTTGCATGCTTAGTTAACATATACAAATGTCAGAGCCATTTCCCAACACTACTTTTTAAAATGATTTATAAATAGCATGTTGTTATAATAATAGTGAGTACATGTGACTAACAAGTTGCCATAAGTCCACTCTAAAGATAGATCATCAACTGTCAAAAAATTATTTATAACATAATGCAAGTAAAAAGTCTTGACAGGAGAAGTTGTTCTTAGTAGTAATGACAAGGACAATAACATTTAATGAGGTTTTTTGTGTGTAAGATATTATACATCCATTATTTCAGTTAATTTTAGTAATAGTCCTGTGAAGTGAGTTTGTAATAGTATAAACCCAGACTTTCATAAAAGGAAACTGATGTTTTAGAGAATAAATAACATGTAGTTAATCAGATGTGGTGCTTTAACCCTGCTTGAATTCAAAGCACATGCCACAGGGTACTTTGTGAGATCAGACTTTATTTTTCTTGTATTTGTATCCTCTGTAGAACCTAACAGTGTAGAGGAAGTTTGGTAAATATTTGAAGTGATTTGAGTTGAAAGAATACTAGATTTCAATTGAAACAATAAAATCGATGTGAGAGAGGGAAATTGCTGAGAGATAACTCTACCTCAGGTTAGAGACATGGAAACTGGATTTGTAGGCATAATAGTTGAAATCAAAACTTTGAATAAGACCTTTTGGGAAGAGGATGAAAAGCAAGTTATTAAGGATAGAGAAATGGGGAACACCAGAATAAGATCCTGCGCAAGAAAGAAGACCTGAGAGAAGAAAGAAAAGATTGATGCAGATGGTGAAGAGAGACTAAGGAGAGAATCTGTTTTCATTAGTTACCAGAAGAAGAAAATAAGTCGTTTGTCTAATACCAACATGCCAACAAGTGGGACTAGAAAACAAAAATAAAAACATAGTGATATTTTTATGAATATTACAACTGTAGAGGAATTCAGAAAATTTGGCAATGAATATTGGTGAAGTTGCACAACATGGTTGATGTAATTGGTGTCTTTGAATTGTACACATGAAAAATGTTGAATTGGCAAAGCTGTGTTATTTATATTTTTATATTTATGTTTTTAAAAAAGAGTATTGGGGTTTGAAAACAGTATTTAAGGGTGACAAAAGGACTTAGAGACCTCCTAGTTTTTTTACTCAAGATGTGCTTCTCGGATCCTTCCTAGCCTGTGAAGTGTTTACTTATCTTCTGTGACAAAACAAGTTGCCATATTGCAATGATTTTTTAAGAGACGTTTGTAATAATTTAGTTTTGCTGTGATATCCAAAAGCACTACCAATGGGCTTATATTTTGTAAGTCCCTTTTGCTATTTAATAGCTTTATTTAATTAATTTTATTTCATTGATTTATTTAATGCTATGCTGTTGTTGTTTAGTCCTGTCAAGTAAATTCAGTCATAGCGACCCTGCATAGGGTTTCCAAGGAGTGGCAGGTGAGCTTGAACTGCCGACCTTGTGGTTCAATCTAACCTTGCAGTACAGCACATTAACCTGCAGCGCCACACCAGGACTCCATTTAATGCTATAAATCTGTTTTTATTGAATGGATTGGGGTAAAAGTAAACCAAACCAAAACCAAAACCAAAAATAACCTTACCGCATAAAAGTCTGAGAAGCACTGCCTTAGGAAAGCTGCTAATTGTTAGTGATGCAAGCACGGAAAATGGGAGAAAATAGAATAGAAAGGAATATTTTAAAGTTATTTTTGATTTGTTGGAGAAATATATGAAAGAAAGCAATGTAGAGGAAGGAAACAAAGGGTTAGTGGCATGGAGGATATAAATAAGATCAAGGGCTATAATAGATTAGACTTAAGAAAGGTTTTAGAGCAAGACTAAGTGTGTGATTTCTAGCAGTATAGTGGACTTCTTTAAGAATAGAAGATAATTTGGATGGCCAGGATCAATTTAAAGGGATTTTAACTTTAAGGCAGCTAATGTTGGGAAAGGAGTCTTGGTGTGGTTCTGCAGGATAAGCTACTTTGACTACTAACTGCAAGGTTAGTGGTTCAAAACCACCAGCCACTCCCTGGAAACCCTATACAGGGTTACTATGAGTTGAAACTGCCTTAAAGGCACTTACATCAATGGTATTGAGAAAGTGCATCCTGTGGGAGCCTGGGGGATGATGGGATAGAAGTTTCTGAATTCAAGTTTCTCTTGTTGAGTACTATGCATCTCAGAGAAACTGCTGACCCGGGCACTCATACTTTCCTTGACTTGGATAAATGTAACTTGAAAACCATATTTGGTCTCTTTAGTTTCCAACAGTTAAATATGAGAGGACTTCAAAAAAGCAGTGAGAAATTCTGTTATCTTTTAATTCCATTTTTCTAAGAAATTTTTGAAGCCCCCTTCTATCTATGAAATGCAAAGAAGGAAAAGGATGTTTAATCCAACTGTGTTGCTGGTTATAAAAATCTGTTTAGCCAGTCAATCTATGAGCAAGTTTAGTATAAGAAGTAAAACACAAAATTGTTTTATTACACCATGAGCATTTCCTAGATTTTCATATTTTCTAAATGAAAATTTGGAGGCATTTCTATTTCTCCTCTACTTTTCTTTCCTTTTACTTCTAAGCCTTTTCCTAAAGATTGATTTTTTTTTTTCAAAAGTTTAAATTGAATTTAAGAATCCATTATTTTTTTCCTGTGTGTTCTTTGTATTACAGTGAAATTACATATAGAAATGTGTATTAAGCATGATATACCAAAGTGAATTAATGAAAACTTCATGGTGACTCTTCAGACAACTGTTAAATGAATGGGGTAGAAAAAATCATACTGTGTGGGCATCTAACAATGTTAACATTGCTTTTGATCTAGTGTTTTTATGGGATTAGATTTAAACCATGGACTATGCTGAACTTCTGGCTCTGGAATGTATTTTTGATTCATGGGAAGCAATTGCCTTAGTGTATAACATTTATTGAATTCTGTAGAATCCTATTTCTATGTTTCTGTCCTAAAGCAATTGTAGAGATGCCCAGTGGTAAATAATGCTTTCTTTCCAATGTAATGGACAGAATTTAGAAATATGAGAAAATGGATCTTGCTATGGTTGCAAACTATGTATAAATCTGTATTAGATGTTTCACTCGATTACTCAACTCGGCAGCCTCATAATCGTCACGTCATGCTCAATGGATGTAAAAGTTTTCTGTTTCTTAGAGACAGCATGAATCTTCTTTAGGCAAAAATTTTAACAAGAAATGTGGTTCTTTTAAAAACAAAAGATAGAACTGCTATATTGGAAACACTCAACTGTTTTTAACTGTTCATATTGATGGTTTATGTGTAACATTATTCATCTTCTTATAATTTTTCACTCACATTCTTTTTTTGTAGAGTGCAGTCAGTTTGGATGATAGGCAGTGAACCTATTAAATAAGTTTCCTGTATTTTAGTCTTTCATTATTCTTATGCACATTATTGTTGTTGTTGTTATGTGTACAATGTGGTTGATATTTAATCTTTAAAAGATATCTGCTTTGTTTTGGGAATAAGTGGACAAAAACCTCAAGTTTGTTAGTATACATCTTAAATTAGGCTAGCTCTTGACCCTGTAGGACAGCTTTTCTGTTACAGAGTTGAAATGTATCGCCACCACGTTTTCGTGGACTCCGTTAGCTTCGTACTAAGATGATCTTCTAGTAATGTAGACTGCTTGGTAGGCCAGGGTCGCCATTTCATTCTCAAACTGGGTAAACTCTAGATGGCTTTTGTTGCCTGGAAACTGTTTGTTACATGAAAATTAGATCGTTTCCATCTCTGGGACATTCCTTTTGTCCTTCCCCTTTGGTTTAGATGACTAAGTGCATGTTTCTAAAATTTCCCTTTTCCCTCCAACATCCAGATAGATAGACATAGACTTCTGTTTTTCCCCTGAAAGCATGTTAAATGCACCTGTTTTTTTTCTAGTTGTTGTGTGCCATCGAGTCAGTATGTTCTTTATATTGCTGAGAAATTACATATAGAAATGTATACTATGCCTGATTTACTTAAATGAATGATTGAAAACTTCATGGTGATTCTTCAGACAATGGCTAAATGAATGGGGTTTAAAAAAATCATACTGTATAGGACCCTATGTAAAGGGTTTACTGTGTGTAGCCCTAAGGAGTGGCTAGTGGGTTTAAATTGCCAACCTTGCAGTTAGCAGTCTAGTGATTATCCTAAAGCTCCACACCAGGGTCCTAGTAGTCTGTCTTAAACAAGCAATCAGTATCTGCACTTAGATTATTATTATTATTTTAAATCACACAACTCTTGCTAACGAGACAATAACTTTGCAGTAGGTTTGTGTGATTGTTTACCTCAGGAGCCCTGGTGCTGCAGGGGTTAAGTAGTTGGCTGTATACCAATAGATTGGTGGATTAAACCCACAAGCCGGTGCATGGAGAAAAGATATAGCAGTTGGTTTCTGTAAAGATTGGAACCCTGTGGAGCAGTTCTACTTTGTCTGTTGTGGTCACTATGGGTCTGAATCGACATGACGAAAATGTGTTTGGTTGGGCATTTTCTTGTTTTGTTTATTTCCCTTGTGTTCGCGCATGTGTGTGTATCATACTTCAAATTGTGTTTCTCCTACTATTTTCTCCGAGGTACCGCCATAGCAACTTGCTAAATTTTCAAAGGTGATTTTAAGTGGTGTTGTTATGTGTTATGTGCTGTGGAATCGGTTCCGACTCATAGTGACCCTGAACAGGGTTTCCGAGGCTGTGAATCTTTACGGGAGGAGAAAGCCTCATCTTTCTCCCGCGGAACAGCTGGTAGTTTCGAACTGCTGATCTTGCAGTTTGCAGCCCGATTCGTAACCACTACGCTACCAGAGCTCCTTTAAGTGATATTAAACTTTGATTATTTTCATTTTAAACAATAGTAAGTTGGAATCCCGGTATGGTGCTGTAGGATAAGCACTGGACTGTTAGCCACAATGTTGGCAGTTCAAACCCACCAGTTGCTCCTTGGAAACTGTGCAGGGTCGCTGTGAGTCAGAACTAACTTCACGGCACTTAACAGAAGTTTGTAGGATGATTTTATTTTTTTCTCTCAAGCATTTACTTTTTATTTTCATCTTTTCATTGGGTATTTATTATATAGTTCTATGTGTAACCTTATAAACATTATGTTTTATATAGAATTGCAATTACGGGTTCTCCTTCAACATAGATCTTTATTGACCTACACTTTGTTTCATGTCACTGACCTCTCATTGCATATTTAGCATGTGATCAAACAAGCTTACATAATTTTCTTTTTGATCTATTGGTTTTATGATTTTTGAAGAAATTTGAAAACCATAAATTCATAAACTCTAAGGCTCTCTACGTTTTTCATGAATAAACCCTTATTTAGTACAAGTTTGCTCTATAATAAATTCTACATGCCATATAATAGGCATCTAGGATTTTGTAGTAGTGCTATACGAGGTACACAAATATAAAAAATTTAAAATGGTATGCTAGCAATTATTGCTAATAATACACAGTCTTCCATTCATATTGTAAGCTTTGGAAAATCTAGTTCCCAGTAAGAAATCCCTGTATGTTTTTCCAACAAACAAACACAAGACACAGTCTAGTAATGCAGTGGTTGCCTAATGTTTTCTATGTATGAGGTCATTTAAAAATGTATACACTGAACATTGAGGTGATTCAGGCAATCTTAATTGGGAATCTTTTGGATGCCTTTGATTTCTTTTATTCTCCAATCTACTAAAACAGTGCATGAAATCGAAATTGTGCATGCTTAAGGTTCATAAGAAAAACATTCTGTTGTTTTAGAAATTGTAATTAAGGTAGTCTCTAAATTAACTTATTCATGCTCTTTTTATTTAAGAATTCATTTTTTATATTAGAATGATTTGTTCAGTTTTGTCATCAGAAAATTAAAAATTGTGGTAGTTTCAAAAAAGTTTGATAGAGATATTTCTATTACATTGTTATATTTCTATTCTTGTTTAAAAAGTGTTAGATGAAAGTATTTATAGACACAAAACATAATTCTTAATTAAAAGGGTTTTAAAATGAATATTTGTAGTTTCTACTATATATTTATACAACAAACTTTGAATAAGGATGTGTATTTTTCAATCCTTTTAGATGTCATACCATTCATCTTTTCATAATAAAAATTATATTTTATCACATAGTTCAATATAAAATTATGTTTTATCACATAGTTCAAAGTATATTTTAATTGTCTTCATTATCATATAAGACTTGTAAATTGAGCACATTTTCAACAAGTCATATGACCATTGATTATATCCTTAGGAACTTAGTTTGTATTTTTAGCAATTTAAAAGAAATAATTGCCATGATTTTCTTCAGCTTTACCAAGCATAAGGATAAATGCCAGAAATGAAAACTATCTAAAATATTTCAATTATCCAAGACGGATAACTGAAACTTTGGTGAAATTATATAGGTTGATGTATAGATTTGACACCTTTCCTTTATATTTCTTTTTATAAAACAAAATCATTGACGGTATATGTAAGTTACAAATTAAAGAAATGTGATTTTCAGGTATTTGCAAGCATTTTAATGCATGCATTGTGTAAAATCACATTGCATATCAGTGTAAGGAATTTGTGTCCTTTTGAGCAGTGAAGGAAAAATTTAATTGTGCAATACTAGCTTTGACCATGAGGATTTTATTATTTTTCTTTAACTTACAGAACATTCATGTTCTGGTGCATGTGTTGGAGTGTATCTATGTTTGTGTTTCCCATTTTAGCATGTGCTTTTGTAACCCTTACATATTGAACTTCCAGAAGTTCTACTAAATGGAAGCATTTAGAAGTGGAATCCCTGTGCCAATAAACAAAAAGCATGTATAAAGCTTTTAGAAAATTTAAAACAGAGACGATATTCCTAGAAAAGGTGCTATAAGAATTGCATGTTTGTGATTTGGGTTTTGTTTATTTCAAACTTAAGTTCTTTTTCATCAAGCATTTATCAATCTACACATTTCACTTCCAGGAGAAATTTTGCAATTCCATGTGATAAGAACGCCCCCAGGTCGAGGAAATGTTACTATTAAATGGAAAATCATTGGGCAACAATTAGAACTTAATTTTGCTAACTTCACTGGACAGCTTTTCTTTTCTGAGGTAATACCACAAAAAATCTTTATCACAGATATCTAGAGGAAACATTATATTTTAAAGAAGAAGAAAATAAAATTATCATTATGTATTGAAAGATTAAAGGAGACAGATGAGAAACTGATTACTTAGAAATTTAAAGAAAGAAAGAACATTACTCATAAAGACCTTCTTAGGAAGGGGTTTGTTTGTCTTTACAATGCTTTGGTAGATCTCTTTGAAGGAAAAAAGTGTCAAGTTTGTACAGTGAAACCTGTGAGAGTCAGAACCCATGGGGACTGTCTTGTTTTTACAGGTCTTGCAAGCTTTCAACTACTGACAGTGCAGTTCTATCGCTCTGTTAGTGGAAAGTATTTGAGTGTTCCTTCCCTAACAGATATCCTCCTACACTGGTGGTTGTGTGCCACAGAGTCAGTTCTGACTCATAGTGATCCCATATAGGGTTTCCAAGGCTGTAAATCTTTACAGAAGCAGAAAGTCTCAATCTTTCTCCTGTGGAATGGCTGTTTAGAGCTACTGACCTTGAGGGTAACAGCCTGATTGTAACCACTGTCTACTTTAAGCCTGGTTTCCTATTAATCAGTGGTTTTATTGTAGCTATTTTTCAAACCACATAACTCTTAATTTAAATGAAAATGTGTTTATGCAAAAATAACGTCACAAAACTATCCCTCTCAAATCACTTTCTACTCAGCTAGGTCAAATGATTCACGGCAATGGCCACACAGAACTCAGACACCATCCTCACTGTGGTGGGGTTTACTAGGGAAGTCAGCAGGTTACATTTCAGGGTCAGAAATGCTCAGGGAATGTTCTTCCAGTCAGGTCGACAGCCTCTCCTCAGCTATCCCCATAGGCAGGCCTCTTACTGCCTGGCCATTTTTACAAAGCTCTTTTAAGGCTGCTGATAAATGCCCACAGGACTCACCAGTCCACCATAAGATACTTGACTCTATCTCTGTTGACCAGCAAACATAGCTCCACCAATTAAGTGCCTGGAGGCACCCCAGTCTGCAAGTAAGGTTCCAGCTCAAATTCACTAAGCTTTACTTGCTCCATGGTCTGGGAATTACCCTCTGTCTTGTGTTCTGCTTCTTGGTTCTGCTATTACTGCTCTTCTGTCACTCCTTTAGTATCACAGCTTTCTGTCCCTGGGTTGAGGAAGTTCAATGTGCAGGAATCTCTGCGTCCAAAGGACACAGTCCACTTCTGGCTCTTCTTCTTTGATGGTAGTTAGATGCCCTCTCCTGCTTCTGAGGTGGCTCATTTGACACATGTTACAGTTCCAGGTTGGTACAATCACAATGAACTCTTGTTAACCATACACTGAATCATATCATCCTGTCAGCATCTTTTCCAACCTTCTCTCACCCAGATCCAGCAGAGCAAAAAAAAAATATATATATTGTTTAGTGGGAGTTAAAGACTATGGCTACAAATACATTAAATACTTTACTACATTTAAGTTCAGATACTAAATTTTTAAAGGTCAATATAAGCAGCAAGTTAGTGTTCAGTAGTAATAATAAATAGATGGGATGGATTTATTTCTGTTTGACATAGGGGTCACTGAATCAGACAATACTTGTGCATTTGTTGGATGACAACATTCCAGAGGAGAAAGAAGTATACCAAGTAATCCTGTATGACATCAAGACAGAAGGTAATTTAGAATTTAGTTTCATTTTTAAAAATTTAATATTCTTTTCTTAAAAAAAGTTTCTATCTCTATTTAATAAACAACTGCAATTAGAAAAATATTATTTTAAATACTGCATGTCTCATGTAAATGCTATGTTAAAAATCAGGTTATTTAAAAAATAAATACTTTTATTTATGGTATTACAAAAATCCTATTAAACTATTAGTAAATATTTCCTTGTGAAACAAAATATATTTCCAAAGGTAGATCTTTATTCAAAAATTAATTTTTTATCATCAAACAAATATACATAACATAAAATATATGATTATGTAGAAAAATAAAAGTACTTTCTGGTTCCTATAACAGTAGTTGAATTTTAAGTATGTAGAAGCTAACGTTATATCATTGTCAGATATCGTGACCTGGTTCCTGACATTTTTAGGAGTTCCACCAGCAGGAATGGCTTTGCTTGATACTCAAGGATATGGGGCTGTGCTCACAGTGGAGGCCAGTGATGAACCACATGGAGTTTTGAATTTTGCTCTTTCATCAAGATTCATTTCAGTAGAAGAGGCTAATGTAACCATTCAGCTTTTCATCGACAGGAAATTTGGATCTTTAGGTTTGTGTTACTAGATTGACTGAAGTTGTTCTGACTGTGTTCTAGATTGACTGAAGTTTCTAGGTAGGTGATATTGAACATTTTATATGGGTGAGTGAAACTTATTGCTGAAATAAATCAAATCACAGGAAAAAAAATGAAATTGATTAGTTGGGGATAGGACTTCATTGCTGTATAGATTAAAGGAATTATCTCGTTACAATAGATATATCTTTGTATGTTGTTGTTGTTAAATGTTGAGCAAGTTCCAACTCATAGTGACCCTGTATAAGGTTTGTGAGGAGCACCTGTTAGGTTTAAACTGCCAACCTTGTGGTTTGCCCAGTCTAGTGCTGATCCTACAGTGCCACACCAGGAGTGTATATTTATGTATAATAATCATAAACGTTCAGCAGCCTCTGACTATCTGTGGGCCCATTCCTGTAGACTGGGCTAAGCTAGGGGATTATTCCTGACTTGTGTCACTCATTCTTCTCAGAGCAACAGAGGCTTGAGACAGCAGGTAAACACCTACAAAACCTCCAAGACATACGCTCAGAGTTAATATATTTTCACATTTACCTTGTACTATTTATTGACCAAAACAAGCATGGCTAAACTCAAGAGTCTAGAAGTATTCTCTGTCCGCAGTGGTCAACCATGGAGCTGTTATATGGTAAGGCCTTGGATATAGGAAGGTGTGAGCAACTGGGCAAGTAATAAATACATTCCTCATAATTAATTGTTTTTAGGAAAGCCCAAAACTGCACAGTGTAATATTATTTTAGAAGTTTAATTAGGTATATCTTTTTTTCAATCAATTCAATTAGGAGTTATCAATGTTACATATAGTACAGTTTCTGGAATGCTGAGTCTAAAAAACCAAACGGAAGGAAACCTGGCAGACCCAGAAGTGGATTTTGTGCCAATAGTTGGCTTTCTAATTTTACAAGAAGGGGAAACATCAGCAGCCCTCAACATTACCATACTAGAGGTAAAACTTTTAGATTATTACTACATTAGAAATTGATGGAATATTCTACTTGTAACATATTATGCTGTTGTGTCTTTAGGTGACATCGAGTCAGTTCCGACTTAAGCAACCCTTTATAGTTGTTCTGAGACTATAAATCTTTATGGCAGCAGAAAGTCTCATTTTTCTCCCTGGGAGCAGCTGACCGGTTTGAACTGCTGACTGGTGGTTAGCAGTTCAGTGGTTTCCACCAGCACTTCCTGTAACATATAAACAACAACATGTAGCAACAGGCATCTGATGCCTTTGTACTTTAAGACATTAAATTTTATATAGACTGTACTTGCGTGATATTTTCAGTTTTTTTTCTTTTTTAAAATATTACTCAATTTTCAGAATATGATACTGAATTATTATCATGTATTATCTTTAGAAACCTGATGAATTCATTTTTTATTTGTTCCTCT